GGGTAAAAATCTGTTAATATTATTAATTACCTAATTTACATAATGATTAATCAATTTTCGGCTTTTCCACTCGTATCTAAAGTACTAATAATAACATGTCAATAAAACTTGGTACATATGTCATATGACACTGCACACACCTGATAGTTTTTAGGGTAATATCAGTACATATTAATCACCTTATTAGCATAATTAGTTAATTTTCAGCTTTTCACCTGATATCTCAAGTACTAATCATCACATTTCAATCAGTCTTGCGACATAGATATTCTAGGACTGTGCAGAGACCTGATTAATTTTGGGATAAATAATTGTGCCTATTAATTACCTAATTTGCATAATAAGTTAATTTTTTGCTGTTCTATGGCTGTTGCACTGATGTCTAAAAGCCACTCATTGGATTTCAATGAAACTTTTAAAGAGTACCCATCACATTTCAATGAACCTAGGACTACGCCATATTAGTTTTTGGTAAATATTTATGCTTCTTAATCACCTTATTAATATAATTAATTAATACTGATATCTCAAGTATTGATCATCCCATTTGAATAAAACTTGGTACATATAAGTGCTCTAGAACAATAGACAGCCTGATTAATTTTGGGTTAAAATCTGTTCATATTAATTCTCTAATTAGCATAATAATTAATATTATTTTGGTTCTAATCACATTTCAATGAAACTTAGTACATTGTGCAGACCTTATTAGTTTTACACTTAAATCTGTTCATATTAGTTACCTAATTTGCATAATTAGTTTTCTGCGTTTCCACCAACATCTCAAGTTCAAGTAATTTTGAATTAATTTTCAATGTGTCTCCAATATTCTCAGCACACGGGAGTTCTTTCTAAGCTTTCTTTGATTTCAATTGTCATCAATGCACGCCTCAATCACAGGTCTAGACATTTCAGTGTTTTTACTTTTTGTGTATCATCAGAATACATCGTGAAATTTAACAAATGTTATCGTCCAAGGGAACACAACAGTGAAAAGAATTGGGCCTAATACACTGCCCTGTAGCACACCATACAACAGTTGAAGTGGTTCCGATGATAAACCATCAACACAAACACGCCGGTTGGTATGTTGCGGTAGTATTTTTTCACCGATCATATTATCAATGTTGTATACAAACTGCAGTGTGTTCAGAACACAGCCATTCACTTGTGGCAAGCCAAAAAGTCTAATCATGTGGACCTCTCTAATCCTTGTGCATTTGGCAGAACTCAATTGACAGTACCAGGCCACAATATATAACACAACTTTACCAGCTATATAATCCAGCAAGACAACTTTGGTCATCGTTGTGTGCTACTATTTGGAATAATTCCATCTAGTATGTATCATGCATGTACTGGCGACTCCTTATTGCAACAAAACTTTTTAGCTCCGCTCTTGACAAAGCGAAGCTTTTCATATTACTGATTGTCTGTCGTCATCAACTTTACATTTCAACTTCTCTTTCAAACCGCAAGTC